CTCTGCTCAAAACAGCTGTGTGCCAGCACTGGAAGGGCCAGGTAATTAACCTGGGTAATTAACCTGGGTAATTAATCATGCCACACATGAAGCAAAACGATGGATCCATTCCTGCTGGGCCCCTGCTGCACCTCACCATCATCCCGATCGGATCCCTGCCATTCCCTCTCGAGGGCAGCAGGAACACTGCCCCAGCCAGGGCACTGCCAGCTCCTGGGGGCACCCAAAGGCACTTGGCCTCTGCTCACAACGTGGGTGCTGCTCAGTCACAGGCACAACTTAGGAATGACCATAAAACTCAGGCATTTTATGGGAAAATGAAGCCACACAAGGGGCGAGCAGCTCACTGGGTGCTGAACGCAACTGCTTGGGTTTCAAAGTTTACTAAACACCAAAGACAGGAAGTTTCACCGCCTTCACTTGCGAAGGAGCTTCCCCTCAGAGCTGTGTGGGTTTCCTTTACCGCAGCAGAAAATGGGTGAGAAAATCAACACCCCTGAAACAACCCCTAGGACCGTCCATCCAGGATGGGGAGCTGCAGCACAGCTCCAGAGTCATCACTGTTTCCACTGCCATGGCAGCACCACGGCCTCGCTCCATCCACAGGGCCGTGTCCCCACCGTGTCCTCTCCTTTCCAGCACTCTGGGACCCATGCAAGCTCCAGTCCTGCAATCAGGTCCCAACAGAGTTGATCTGGGCACAGGGCAGAGCAGGTTGTGCTGTCCGATTGCAGCCCGGGCCAACAGCCAGCGGCTGACAGTTGCCAAAACCTTGATTTTTTTTTCCCTTTTTCCTGCATGGGGGCAGTGATACAGTCTTGGCTGCTGGGAGAGGGTGTAAAAAAACAACTTTCCCCTTCCAAGCTGGAGAGAAAACCATGGCAAAAGTGGGCTTGGAAAGAATACATGAGACTCAGGTATCAAGGCAATGCCCAGAGGATGGGTGGGGAGTAGTAACCCAACCTGCCCCAGCCAGCAACCAGGGCTGGTGGATCAAGTTGTGATACAAAGATGGTTACAAAAACCTGAATAAACAGAGGGAGTCACCTTACGCTGGCCCCAGCTTGGGGGTTTGAGTACACAGCTGTGAGCAGGGCACTCCCTGGAGCCGGCGTGGCTCAGCGGCACAGCCCCAGAAAGAGATGTCAAAAACCAATGTCAGCAGGGTGGGAGGGCAGCTGGGACCCCCCGAGCCCCATGGCTGGGAGAGGAACAGGCTGAGCCACACTCAGCTCTCTTCCTGAAGCCTCCAGGGCTGTTTGTGGCTGCCCTGGCAGCCGGCACTGCCACGTCTGCCCTGGCACTGCCACCACCGCCCAGTGCCAACCTGGAGGTTCACAGGGGACAGTGACCTCGGGACAGTCACCTCGGGACAGTGCCCCCAGAGCGAGTGACCGTGTCGGACAAGCATCGGTATCCTCTGAGTCAGGATCCCGTCCCAGGCAGCTGGGCCAGGCTGAGAAGGGACCCCAGGAAATGTCATTCCTGGGGGATCACAGCAAACCTACCCCCAGGGCAGCTCCGGGGACACCAGAGCACAGATACATTCGTGGCTTCTCCTCCACGTCTCACTTCCAGGCAGGGAACGCTCCTGGAAGAGGAACTTGTTCTCTGCCGGGGCACTTCTGAGCTATTCCTGTCATTTACCCTTGGGCAGCAGAACGCGGCAGGGACCGGCAGAGCCGTGGGACAGCCGGGGCTGTCAGGGACAGCTCCGTCCCGCAGGGTCCCGAGTCCCCGGTACACCCGTGCACGAGCGGGGGGCTCCAGCCCACCCCCGCCACCACGAGGGACCCCGGCACGGGTTTCAAGCCCCGGTAACCGGGAGCACCGTGACCTCGACGGCATGAATATTAATTATAAGGCTCATTATCCCGGTCCCGGGCTCCGCTCTGACACCGCCCCCGAGGCCGGGGAGGTGGGGACGGGCTGTCCCGGGAGGCGCCGCCGCCGCTCCCCGCCCGCACTGACAGCCCGGGGGGCTCCTGCCCGGCCCGACCGCCCCACGGCCCGCCCGGCCCCGGGCCCGCACTCACGGGAACGGCTCCTCGGGGCCCGCGCCGCCCCGCAGCACCACCATGGCGCGCTGGGACTGGGATCGGGACCGGGACGGTGACCAGGACCAGGACCGCGACCTCCCTCCGCCTCCTCCACCCCCGGCCCGCACCGGCGGCACCGGGCCCGGCACCGCCCGCGGGAAGTGACGTCACGGGGGCGGGGGAACGGGAGCCCCGCCCCGGGCGTCGCGGCCGGTGGGGCACAGCGGGTGCTTCGAGGAGCCCCCGGAACCGGAGCTCGACGGCTGCCGGACCCCATGAACCCCGCGTGAATTCCCGCTGTACCCCGTGACCTCCCCCGTTATTCCCCGTGAACCTCCAGTTAAACCCCGTTAAAGCCT